TAAACTATAGCTTTTATATTTGTCAATGTTTTCTTAGATTTTTCCAAACATGTTTTATTCCTATTAAATATGGGATTAATTACATAGGGGATATTATATTTGCCCTGGTTATATGCCTCCTAGATCCTTAAAAATTAATTTCGTATCACTAATCATTTAATTTAATTTATAGTTGAATAAAGTAGTTCCACATTTTAAAGGTAGAGCACAAAGTAATCACGAACCAAAATCGATACGTCAACATCAAGATTCGATAGGTAGGTTTAACATTGGGACCTCACAATAAAACACTCACCGACACTTCTCGTTAATGTAACTAAAACTTTTCACTAAAATATTTTATAAAAAAGCCATAATTTAAAATTACTATCCCCATATTCATATGTACATAACCCTGCTTTATGGTGTTCTATAACACGTTCCTAGGTTCTAATTTTTTCACTTACAACTTACATCTAAATTTAATTATAGTATTAGTTTAATTTGACCCATATACTCTCTCACTTTTTAGTCCTCCATTAAAAAACATAATTTCACAAGAAACAAGAAGAAAAAAAAAAAACATCATCAACACACAAATTCCATAAGTTAATCTAACTAATCAATGTGCATTGATCAAATGATTTTGTATTTATTATCATCATTAATTGGATTTGCTTGTGAATTATTGAAATAATTTGTACATTTTTAAAGTACTTAGCCTAAAAAGGAAGTAGTAATTGAGATCAAACTAATCTCAAACCCGTGACTAACTTTATAACTAACCATTGATTATTCACTGATTAGCTTATCAATCATGTGACACTAAAAAAGTGGTCTAAAATGATCAAATCAAAACTATATAGCTCATAAAAAGAAGAAATGTTAAAATCAGTGAAAAAATATAAAAATTTACCGAATTTCCAGCGAGCTTGAACAAGAGCAAGCTTTGGGTTATGGAGAAGAAACGGTACAGTTCTCCATAGAAAATCCGGTTCAGGTTGAAAATCAGCGTCGAAGATCGCAACGTAATCGCAGCTTTTGACATAACTTTTCTTCATTCCTTCTTTCAAAGCTCCAGCTTTGTAACCATTTCTATTGTCTCTAATCTCATACTTTATGTTCACTCCTTTACTCGCCCATCTACTACACTCCATCTCCACAAGATCCTGCAACCACAACAACAAGAACATTAAATCCAAGGTTTCTAAAGAACCCATGTCACAAAATCGGATCTTGCATAGACCCATGTCGCAAAATAGGATCTTTGGTTAGACCCATGTCGCAAAATTGGATCTTTGAGGACTCTTTGACATAATTTGGAAAGTTTTTTTTTTTGAAAGCGAGATTTGAGGAGAATCTAATTTTGTTTGGATGATCGG